TGAATCTAAGCAACCGGACTCGCGTTTTCCGCTAGAGGGAGCTTCTGATGCGGATATAGAAGAGAATGCTCTATTAACCTACAGACTAAGTCAAAACCAGTATTTTTCTTTAGAGTCACCAACAAATAGTAAGCAGACCAAAAGACTGTCACTTATACTAAAGAAGTCTCTGGATAGAGAGAAAACTCCGGAACTTAATTTGGTGCTGACGGCTACAGACGGCGGAAAACCGGAGCTCACTGGCACCGTTCAGCTGCTTGTCTGCGTCTTGGATGTTAACGACAATGATCCGGAGTTTGATCAATCAGAATACAAGGTGAGATTGATGGAAAACGCTGCTAAAGAAACTCTTGTGATAAAATTAAACGCTACAGATCGGGATGAAGGAGTCAACGGGGAGGTAACGTACTCCTTAATGTCAATTAAGCCCAATGGAAGACTCTTATTTACACTAGATGAAAATAATGGAGAAATGAGAGTCAACGGAAATTTAGATTATGAAGAAAACAAGTTTTATGAAATTGAAGTACAGGCCACAGATAAGGGGACTCCACCAATGGCAGGTCACTGTACAGTCTGGGTAGAAATCTTAGACACCAATGATAACTCCCCTCAAGTCGTCGTGACTTCCCTGTCCCTCCCAGTACGAGAGGACACTCAGCCAAGCACCGTCATTGCTCTGATCAGCGTATCCGACCTCGACGCTGGTGTCAACGGACAGGTGACCTGCTCTCTGACGCCCAACGTCCCCTTCAAGATAGTATCCACCTTCAAAAACTATTATTCACTGGTTCTGGACAGCGCTCTGGACCGCGAGAGTGTGTCCTCTTATGATCTGATAGTGACCGCGCGGGACGGCGGCTCTCCTTCACTGTGGGCAACAGCCAGCGTGTCCGTGGAGGTGGCCGACGTGAACGACAACGCGCCGGCGTTCCCACAGCCCGAGTACACGGTGTTCGTGAAGGAGAACAACCCGCCAGGCTGCCACATCTTCACGGTGTCGGCGCGGGACGCGGACGCGCAGGAGAACGCGCGGGTGTCCTACTCGCTGGTGGAGCGGCGGGTGGGCGAGCGCGCGCTGTCGAGCTACGTGTCGGTGCACGCGGAGAGCGGCAAGGTGTACGCGCTGCAGCCGCTGGACCACGAGGAGCTGGAGCTGCTGCAGTTCCAGGTGAGCGCGCGCGACGCGGGCGTGCCGCCTCTGGGCAGCAACGTGACGCTGCAGGTGTTCGTGCTGGATGAGAATGACAACGCGCCAGCGCTGCTGGCACCTCGGGCTGGCAGCGCGGGTGGCGCCGTGACAGAGCTGGTGTCGCGGTCTGTGGGCGCGGGCCACGTGGTGGCGAAGGTGCGCGCGGTGGACGCGGACTCTGGCTACAACGCGTGGCTGTCGTATGAGCTGCAGGCAGCAGCTGGAAGCGCGCGCAGTCCGTTCCGCGTGGGTCTGTACAACGGCGAGATCAGCACGACGCGCACCTTGGACGAGGCGGACGCTCCGCGCCACCGCCTGCTAGTGCTGGTGAAGGACCACGGTGAGCC